GCCGCCCGCCAGCCCGCCCCGGCTCCTCCTCCTCCTCCTCCTCCTCCCCGCCCGGCCGGCCGGCTCGGCTCCGGCCTCCGCCCCTCCGCACCCCCCCTGCCCTGCCCTCCCCTCCCCGCGGCCGCGCCGCCCTCCGGACCAGCGGCGCCCACAGCGCCCCGGGCGGCCTGGGGGGGCACTGCAGCCGGGGCCGCGCCGCCGCACCGGGCCTCACGGGGCGGGGCGGGCTCCCCACGACAGCCGGCAGCCAGCCCAGGCCGGCCGCCTCCGCGGGGACTCCCGCTCGCGGACCAAACGCTGTCCCCGTCACCGCGTTGGCTCCGTTCCCGGGGCCCTCCCGCCTCGGAGGCTGAGTTCGCCCACTTCTGGACGTCCACCCAAGATCTCACCTCTAGGACTGACTATGCCCCCGAAGGTCGTGGCCTGCACGACGTTACTAAGTACGGCTCCAGGGGCCTGGGTTCGGCAGGCGCGGCCTTTCTGAGCCTTGGTCTCATCCCACAGGGCCGTGCATAACGTAGGAAACTGCTTTCAAAAGTAACAAACGTGTGCCTGACAAATACGGGGATTGCTGTTTTCAGTTACTGGTCGTGGATTGTCAAGCGGGCATGATGACGCTTCTGCCCCCGGGGAGGGGTTAAACGTCCTTCCAGTACTGCCACTGTCCTTTTCGCTCCCGCTCTTTCCGCCCCCCTCCACCGCGTGGTCCCCGGGGAAAGGCGAACTACAGTTCCCAGGGTGCGCCGCAAGGCCGCACGGAACTACAACTCCCGGCGCCCCCTGCGGCGGGGGCGGTGTTGCGTCGTCACCGCGGAGCGCGGCCGGGACCTCCGGGTCGCGCGGCGTTCCGGAGCGGCCCGGAGCTCGGGGAGGTGCCCGCGGAGGCCCGCGGGAGACGGCTCGGGGGCTGGCGCGGAAGCGGGGGCTTGGGAGCCGCAGGCATGCTGCGTCCCAAGGCTTTGACCCAGGTGTTAAGCCAAGCCAACACCGGCGGTGTCCAGAGCACGCTGTGAGTGCGGACGGAGCAGGCGAGCGGCGAGCCCGGGGCGCGCTGGGGAAGGATCTCGGGGAGGGGAGGAAGGCGGGG